CCCCCCCCCCCCCCCCCCCCCAGAGACTGTACACGGGGCCTCCGAGAGACGGTGTGTGTGTGTGTCGTCGCATAATGCCCCGGGCGCAGAGGTAGTGCTGAAGTCTTCGAGCCTTCGCTCAGTGGCTTTTCCGTTCGGCGTCAGGAAGGTGGACATGTTGACAGTGCGTCACGTGTTACATCCTGACCATGTGGTCTGCATATAAAAATACGCCTCCGACCAGCGTCGGGTTCCTCCGCTTTTTTTGTTGCTTTTTCATCTTCGGGGGGTTTTGTGCACTGGTCCTGGTTTAGGCTAGTGGAGTGTCGCGTGCACGCCATAGAACAGCGCGGAAGCGATCGTGTGTTCGACGACCTCCCGTCTGTTTTTTCTTTTTTTTTTTCCTTCCCTCCGAACAGCCGCATTTGCGTCTAACATGTCGGGTTTTGCATGTTTTCTTCTTTCTTCGATGTGATGGAACAAGGCCTGCATGGACCAGAAAACATCTTGTCCTCTAAGACTCTGGGCGCTAATCCGACGTTCACGACCTTGGCGTATATAAGTTTTTTTTTTTTTCACAAACCTTGGGGCCTGTCGCGTTTTTCGATAACAACGATCAGGACGAGCGTGGGTTCGAGTCTAAGATCAACCAGGCGGTCTTCCCGGCGCTCCAGGGGGGCCCGCACGAGCACCAGATCGCCGGGGTGGCGACCCAGCTCAAGGAGGCCATGACCCCGGAGTTCAAGGAATACATCATCCAGGCGCGTTGTTAGGCAGACTTGTTGTCCTCCTAGGGACCAAAAATATCGAAAAAGATTCATGAACTTGAGTTAGTCAAAAGCGTACTCCGAAGTTTGTAAATAGTGTTTCATTACAGAATCGTAGATAGTGAACCCCACCTCCGTGTTACCGCCGCCCTCATCCGAGTGATGCGATACGGAAGAAGCTTGTTTTTCCACTCTTCCGGTTATTTGCCGACACAGCGGTTGTGTTTGTTTGAGTGCACAGCAGTGTGGCGCTCCGAGCCCTTCATCGAAATCGAAATTCTTCGTACTGACATGTCTTTTGCTGCAATTGCTTACCCGCGTGTCCGCGATTTTCCAGGTGAAGAAAAACGCCTCCGCCTGCGCGGACGAGCTCGTGAAGCTGGGTTACACCATCTGCACCGGAGGAACTGAGAACCACCTCCTCCTCTGGTAAGGCCTTGTTCAGGTACCGTTTTGTTTTTATTTTGCCGGTAGTTGTGTTATACTGTAGGCGATGCCACTGCTGTAGCTCATGTTTTGTCTTGGTTTGTGTCACTCCTCTTCCACCACTCGACCGAAAAATAACTCTCCAGTTTTTGGTGATTTTTACTTTCCCGTGTTGCGGTGTTGGTTTGGTTTCATGTGCAGGGACCTTCGCCCCAAGGCACTGACGGGGTCGAAGATGGAGAAGATCTGCGACAAGGTCCACATCACCCTGAACAAGAACGCCGTTCAGGTCAGTGGAAAGGAGCCAATGGAAATGTAGCGATGCGGTGAATTCCGGAACTGGCTTGCCTGTATTCGTGACAATCGTTCCTTCCATCAACAGTAGTCACCCTTCTATGATGATCTCATCCGAAAGAGAACCGTTTATGCGGCATCGGGAGGGACGAAGCAGCTCAACCAGCTCGCGTTGCTTTCATTTAGTTAATCGTTGCCCATCCATCCACCCGTTGTGATCCCCTGTTCATTCGTCGCTCGAACTGATGCCCTAATTGTTCATGGATCAACCAAAGTCTCCTTCCTGTGGCGTGACTGTTGTCCTCAAATTTCAGGGGGACAGGTCGGCCATGTCGCCGGGAGGCGTTCGGATCGGGGCCCCCGCCCTCACGACAAGGGGCATGAAAGAGCCCGAGTTCCGCCAGATCGCGGCGTTCATGGACCGGGCCGCCCAGCTGGCCATCAAGATCCAGCAGGGGTCCGGAAAGATGCTCAAGGATTTCGCGATCGCCCTCGAGGTGCGTAGGCTCTTGTTGGTGGAGCCCGATCCGCCGTTCGAGTCGGTAATATGTGTTGCAGCTGTCGTGCGTTTTTTGTTGCTTGGATTCGGAGGTTTCACGTCATTAGCGTTCGGGTATTGTTGTTTCCGCGCCCTCGGGTTCTGGACGGTACGGCATGTCGCGAGACTGTCACTCCCATGGGGTTTCACGAGGAATATACGTGGATCTGATCGACATGGAAGAGTAGTTTCTATTCTCTCCTGTCCTTGTGGTTTGCTCTTTGCCCGAACAGTTTTTTGGGGGGGCTTGTGATTTTGGCCTTGTGGCGTGGTATTCCAATCATGTGCCAGGAATTTCAGAGCACATTATTAGAATCAGCGCGCACTCGCGGATATTTGAGAAAATCTTGGCTGCCAGCGTCATCTGAGCGACGCCCGGGTGTTGACCGGCGGCAACGAATACGTCGATTGTATTGCTCTTTCGCACTCCTGTCTTTTCTGTAAGCCCAAAACCTTTGCGGCCCCCTGTCCCCGCTGTCACTCTTGTTGGTCTGTCTGTCTGTCTGTCTGTCTGTCTGTCTGTCAGCCTGTGTTTCGCTGTCTCATTACGTCTATCTCTACCCTTCGTCCTCCGTTCTTCCGCTTTGCAGAGCGACGAGGAGGTGAAGGCCCTTGCCGATGACGTCAAGGCGTTCGCCCGCCGGTGGCCCATGCCCGGCTTCGAGGCGTCGGAGCTCAAGTTCAAGGAAATGGACCACTAGATGGACCAAGACGCCGCAGCAGCTGCTACTGCTGTGAACAACCCACCAGTATGCTGGCAGCACGTGTTGATGGCGTGTTTTTGGTAGCGGCTTGCCCGTCGCGAAAGGGGGCTTCGCCCGGCACCGCTAGAAAGTCAAAGCTCGCTGTTCGGGCAAGCACAGGATGCCACGCTCGTGGCCGAAGTTGTAAGTTGGATTATCCCCCCCCCCCTTTCTCCGATTGAACATAGGACGGTGAGTTCGCGTGAGAGGGGCAGGGGGAGCAGGCTGGCGGCTGAGTTGGAGGTTGTCGCCGGCCTTGTGCGAAGGCACCAAGCGTGCGTCGGGTCCTTTGTCGTTACGACGACGTTGCTTGTCTAGTCTAATTCAGGAAACCCCCACATCATGGTGACTTTGCAAATACGTGAGTTGGGGTGGTGGTCGGTGTTCGAACTGACTCATTTCAACATGGGCTGTTGCGTATGTCCACCTTTCTCTGCCCTTACCCGCCCGAGGCCGAGGATTCCCGAGAAGATCGTTGATTGCGATCGAGAGCGATGCGCTACGCTGAGGAGCTCTTCGACCATTCATTCATTCATTCCCAATTTCACTCGGGCTTGTCATTTTCACTCGGGATTGTCACCTTTCTTTTTACTCGTCGCGGCGGTGTCTACGTTCCGTCCTCAAGCCGACGACACCACCACTGTCAAGCAATAAAGGTTGAGGTGGGCCGTGAAGCCCCGGAGACTGTCGCTGCCCTTGAGCACGGAAGGAGCACAAGGACTAGCCTTACGTACAGATGGCCGGACCTATTTTTCAACCCGAAAAAGAAGTTGGTAGCTGGTGGTCTGAATATGTCTTGCCCAAAATCCACAACCACAAAGTAGATAGCATGACGCACACATATCCACATGCCGCAGGTGAACACCTTCCTGTGCTTGTTGCTCCCTCCTTCCGACTTGCGTGATGAAAAGTCAGGTAGTAAGCGAAGAAGGGTCTGGCTTGTCTTTTCTGGGCGTTTGTCCCGTTTCTATATTGGCCTACAGCAGTAGTACCCTACCCTCCAACAGACAGGGCACGGAGTAAAAGAGCATTGCCCACAACGACAGGTGGCCAAGTCTACCGTATATGACCCAGCAGCACACAGAAGTTTCCGTCCGCCGCGGTTATTGAGTGCTGGAGCGCGAGGGCTAGCTGTGCAGACCTCTGGATTTTTTTGTTGCAGTGTGATGTGCCGACGGACAAGCGGGAGCCACAGAGCCTCGAGACGCAGTTAAAAGGATTTCGTTCGATGTACTTCTACATGTTGGTTGCTGCTCTTGGCAGCGGGACGACGATGATTTCACGGCGGGGACAGCGGTTCTAAGCAGCACCGGCTTATCGCTAGAGATGAGCAGCGGGGCTCTATACCGTAGCGTCCTCCGAGACCGCCCCAAACTCTCAGTCGGGGCCACCGCCCTATCGGGGCTGTTCGTCGTGGGGCCTTGGAAGGCGAAGTGCTCGGCCTTGGATTGCCTCGAGCCCAAGGAAAGGAGAGTGAGCATCGACGCTCCACTTGACAACAATGCCATGGCTTCCCGCATGTCCCGTACAGCAGTAACGTAATCGAGAGCGGAAGAACGCTGTAGGAGGATGAACGTTACCCGCGGCCGGCTTTGTTTGCAAATAGATCGTGTGGTTATGAGTTGGACATGTTGCGACATATGAGTACCTCTCTCGCACGAATTCTTGTCGGTTTCGTGGCCCGACTCGCTCGGCTCTCTGGCAAGGTTCCTATTGAAGGTTCTCCTGTACAAGTGAGGGTTTGACGACGAAACGGTGACATTCTTGATTGTTTCGCTCGTTGCTTTGCTCAAGGAAACAAGTGCCTTCCATGACTTCCGTGCCTATAAAGCTTCAAAGGCCTCCTCTAGGGCCTCGAAGTCCATGCCGCTCACAGACACGGCCACCACGAGCAGGAGCGCGCCCAGAAGTGCGAGGTTGCGTTTCTCCTGAGCGCGGAACGAAAAAGGGGACGAGAAAGGAACTTGCATGTGAATTTACACACCACAAAAACAATGCGTGTTGAACGGTGCCCCAACCAAAGGCGGCGAATCAATCACGATGACACAGAAGAACCAGGGAAGATAATGTGCACAAGGCGGAGAGCGCCCAACAAAAACAGATGTGTACAACTCGCGCACGCCGGCAAGGTCCGCCCGATCCACGAACAAAGTGGACCCGCGTGGTCAGGCTACATCATCGAGAGACTTTGGCACAAAACAGCATGATGTGCGCACATGTACATGCCGTGAAAAGAACTTGAGGAAAACTGAAAAAAAACAAACCAGACCAAAACCCGGATTGTGCAACGTTCGTCACTATTAGAAACATGCTTGACCCACAAAATCCCACAAGTGCTGGACTACCCCTTCGTGTCACGGTGATGACATGGCTTTTGTTCGGAAAAATACACATGGTTTCCTGGTATTTTCATGAGCGAGGTCATATTTGAGGTGGCGCTATGCAATAGAATCCCGTTCCAGCCCGAGCCTCGGAAGTGCTGAAAAAACATATACATGTGTTCCCGTCACTCGTCACTCGGTTCGATGAAACTGAAACCAAACTCGGCCACAACAACTATTTACACATTCGTGAGTTGGTTCTATTTCTGATTGGCCACCCTGGGATTCCCGGCCGTGTCCTCCGGGGTGGCATTCAATGGCGCTCTTCGGAATATCGGTCAAGGTGACTTGGGTATCATGTCAGGTTCTACCGATACCCGTCGGAGAGCTGGGCCCTCCTAGTCGATGAAACCGCCCCCAAGATAGAGCACGCATTCACGGGGTCACATTGCATCCACCTGGCTCACACATGAAAACAAAGAAAAGGCTTCGTCAAGCACATGGTCACGATGCGAAGTAAACGTTCCACATCATGAAGATCCATCCTGTGTCTGCTTATGAGGGAACCGGCCTGGCTCTCACCACCATTCCCAGCGGAGGGCCGGCCTTCCTAGCCTTGTGCAGCTCCGGGTCGAAGAGCTTGACGCACAATCGGTCCACCGCCAGCGGAGCCAGCAGCGACACAAGCATCGAAGCCAGAATGGAGAGCTTCGCAGCAATGCTGGGGAATGGTTTCAGTTCCAGCACCTGCGGTTCGTTGAAGTTTGGCTGTTGGCGTGGTTGTCATCTTCACCAAAACCAACAACACGAAGTCTTGGCGAAGTTACTCTGCGTAGAGATCAACGTGTTTCGTTGCATTTCTTCGACAAAGAAAAAAGTTGTTTCGGCGTCATAGTTCCGCGGATTCCCTAACAAACGCGGCGTGATGGGCGGGCTTCTGTTGCCAAGGCCTCGATAACCGAAGTAATGTCCGGCGGGGGCGAAGTCAGAGTCCGATGTGGGGGTCGGCAAAAGCATGCAATAAGAGGGTCTATTCCCGACTGCTGAACCAGCCCATGCGAACACAAAGACAGGTTTTTAATGTGCAATACGCTGATAGTTGCCCGACAAACCAACAAGGCAGAGGATGTCACTGACGCAAAAGAAACAACCAAAAATAACATCGTGAAAACAAAATGATGGCACGAAAACAAAGGGGATGTTTTTGGCGGGTGGAGACACGTTCCATAAACTGCTGTCATGGGTATACGTTACAAAGAGTGCCATAAAACGTGTTTGCACACACGCGAGACCAGAGAAAAACAGCCCTGACAACAAACTGCACGCCCGCAAAAATGCCGTTGGGTTGAAGACGGAGTGTCGGACCTACAAATGGGACAGGTACAACGCATGACCGCCTACATCGGAAGTTTGGAAGCCCAACACAGTGTCGTCGAGTAGACCAAACCTAGCCAGCTCTTACCCACACCTGCCCGTCCTCCGCAGAGCGCGCTCTGAACAAATGGCGGAAACACACACGAAACGCGATCAAGTTAGTTGGACGCAATCTCCTACCGCGTTGATAGGTGGGACGATCTCCAGAACCAGGGCGAAGCAGAAGGCCACGATCGAGACCGCCGGCAAGAAAATAGCGGAGTTTTCCAAGATGCCTACCGGAGGTGAAACAGAGGGCAGAGGGTTGGAGATGAATTGGGCAGAATAGGTGTCCCTGGCATATGCTGGTGTTTCGTATATGGGTGCGTTAATCCAGAGGTGTCGGACCAACACAGATACCGGGAAGTGTGTGTGAGCAAACACGCTGGATGGCCTGGCTGAAAGGATAGGGTCAACGGGAACCTCCCCCCGACCACGTGAACAAAGTTGTTCCTACGCACCCAATAACACAACCGAAAATGTGCCCGCCATTAATGCCGCTACAAGGCTGGCGTCCTTTCATTGTCGAACGCCACAAACCACAGCCGACGAAACCCACAACTAGCGCGCGTCCGGCCAACTGAATCAAAATTCGAAAGAAAAGATAAAAGAAAGGTGTGGTACGCTAAGTGCAACGCAGACAACCGTATCGCCCACAAGCATACGTACATAATTCAACGCCCGGCAACTCGATGCGCAACACGCGGAGCAACCACCGAAACGCGCATGCCCTTCCAAGAGCGATAAGTAACCGTAGCGCAGGCAACGCTACACTTGTATCTCACCTGCCATGAATGGACGCCCCTTGAAGTTTACGATCGATACCGAAATGCTCTGGATAGTAGCCAGCAGGAAGACGGCGTTGCTAACCAGGTTCGGCACAAACTTGGGGCCAAGCAAACCCTTCACTTCGGCCACCGGCGGGGACTTCGAGGAGCATGAGTAGAAAAGAAGGAACAAGATCAAGACGAAAATTAAAACAGCAACACCGTTACTTCTACTACTAGTACTCCTGCTGTTACTACACGCAAACACACAGAAAATACCAACGAATACCAACAATACAACGACAGTAGACAGTAGCAAACCAACCACAACCAACAGCTACGGGGTGAGAATGAGGCGTGCGCTAAGGCAACCACGAAGAGAGAAACGTTCCGAAAGAAGGTCAGCGCGCGCAAGCCGAAGGACAATAAACGACAAGCAAAACACAACAAACACACACACACGCACACACACACACACACACACACACACCACACACAACACAGCGACGACGACAAAAAAAAAATCAAGTCGAGACAGTAGTCATAAAAAACATAGACCTGACATGGTGGGCTCGAAAGAAAATGAACCAAATCGCGGGGCAGATCTGCCGGAAAAGCTCACCTCCGAGGGGGAGTGCGCGTTGGCCGCCCAGACGGCAAACGCCATGCTGCCCACGTGAATACCCGCTTGCCCCAAGAGGGACAAGAAGGTCGACTTGTGAAAGACGGAGCTCGGCGGGCGTATCGGGGACATGTCTTCCGGTGTCTCCGGGCAGGCTAGGGCGACGCTCAGCGGCGCGAACATCAACGAGCTCACGACCAGCGGTCGCTGCGGCCACCTGGGGGGGGGGGGG